TTCTTTTCTTTTTCTTTTCGAAAAAGGATTTAATTAAATCCTTTTCCTTTAGGCCAAAAATTCAATAATCTTAGAAATTCAATATCTTCCCAACCGTAAATCCGTTGACCCCGTTCAACTTCCAAAATTCCCCAAATCTCGAGATCTATCTAATGGCACGCTTAGAGGTCATTAATAGGGCTTTATTTTTCGCCGTTTGTTGAGTTGTCCCGTTTCGCGTGTAGTTCCGGAGCCCGAAGACCCGCAGTGCGAGGATTTCGAGGATCAAGCTCCAGATCTCGAGCAAGGCAAGCCATCTTTGAACATCTTAAGCCCTATATTTGAAATTTAATTGTATTGCTTGCAAAATATTATGCATTGATAGGATCACACTTAATCTGATTGTCCCGTCTGCAAGGCAGATTGGCGGACCTGCCTAATTTGTTGCATTTGATCCTTCCTTTGTTAATTGTTATACGATGTCCCCTTGTAACCACCCTGTTGCGCCTCGATATTCGTGCACTCTGTGCGAGTATCGACGGTCGCCTTCAAACTTAAAATCTGAAAAACAACTTGGGTAAAACTTGGGTTTTACAAAAGATTTGGAAAACCCGACACCTGGGTCGGTGCTTGCGAACTAAATGAATTTCTAAAACCGCGGACCGGGGAACATACCGGGTGTACGGTTTTCCCGCTCCCGCACTTAAGGACCGATTCCTTGGAATTTCATCCGAACATAAGACAAGTACGACCACATGGGTGGAATGGGACACCCCTGGCTGAGTAACTAGCTTATCAGGGGAGCCATGATGCCGAGAGACATGTGGATTCGCCGGGGCGGTGTCGGAGAGGACCCCCCTGGGCTTCCTGGCACAGTATGGTCTGGGACCTAACCTGTTGTTGGTCTGGGACCCCTCTCGTCGGCATATGGTAAGCCTGTGTCGGCTTTGGAAATGCCTTCTCATGAAAGCTTGGAGGTCTCCCGACGTGGCTGATCCCCACGGGCTGGGTGATCCGGGTTAGTAATGTCGTGTGGGTAAAGTGTACCCCCTCTGCAGAGATTAACAAACTGTTCGAACAGCCGTGCCCACGGTCATGGGCGGATGTGAGGTGATTCCTAGCGTAGTTTTGTTTGACAACTGCTTGTGAAATTACTGTTGTGAAAAGGGGTTCGATGTTTGGAAAATCAGCAGCTGACGGGATCAGCTAGGCCCGGGTGGCCGTTTGAAAAGTTGTTGGCCCGGGTGGCCGTTTGAAAAGCTGTTGGCCGGGTGCCAACCTTGTTTTAAGATCTAAAGATTGATACATTGCACATACTCCGACCAGACGGGACGCACTGTCTCAACCGTGTCGTTTGAGAAGCACTCACCTAGATGTTTTTAGAAAAGAGTTCAAATAAAATCAATTACGAAAACAACAGCCTTTCCTTGAAGCCTGCATTAAACACTTATTTCCCCTGGCTTGCTAAGTACTCCCGTACTCACCCTTGCTCTATATAAATATTCCCCCCCCCAAGTTGCTGATGAAGATGAAGCGGATCCTGCTGATGAGGAGTTCTTCCAGGAGCAAGCCAGTTACGATGAGTTTTAGGGTTTCGGCCTAGTTCCCAAGTCGCGCCTGTGTTGTTTGGTCCAAGTCCCGGCTTCCGTTTCCCTTTTGTAATGCAGTTGTGAGCTCGGGATCTATCCGCAGCCCAACATGACTGTACTCCTACTCTATAATAAAGAAACCTCTGTTGCTGTGATATTCTATCTTCCTGTGATACCAGCACTGTTTCCTGGGACTGGTATCGATTAACAGGTTAATTTGGAGCGTCACGGGCTAATTCCAGTCGGGACTAGCTCGGGGCGTGACAGCAGCAAATTGTAATTAAGGGTGTGTTTGGTTCACGGTCATGTATGGATGGGATATGGCGATCCAATTTTTTATTTGGTTTGTATGGATATGGTGATCTAATTTCTTGTTTGGTTGGAGGGATGTAGAATGGATGGGAAAAGCCAAAAGTTAGTGGGGCCCATTAATTTGTCATATATATTTTTTATCAAAATATAATCATCCGATATCTTGTTTTAAAGATTTAATTATAACAAATATAATGGTGTAATTAAATCATAATTAGATAAACGGTTTAGGAGAAAAAATATTTGGAGGTTGCTTAACAGGAAATCAAACCAACCACAGCCAATCAGAATAGGACACATCACCCAGTCCAAAACTGGATGGCTTCATCCAGCCAAATCGGTCGGATGCACTCATCCAGCATACTGAGGGAATATTTTCTCTATTCCGGGCCGCACCATCCACCCTGCCCTCCAACCAAACACCACAAAAAATCGAGCGGCCATCTCTCATCCAGACTCATCCACCTAACCAAACACACCATATGAGGCCGGCCACGTAGAGAACAAGTAGAATTGTACGTCATCTAACTTTCTACAGTGCAGAAGATGGATGCAAGCAATGAAGCAAATTAAGCAGGGTAAAAGAAAATAATAATAATCATGCAAAGTTGATTCAGCATACGTTTTATGGTGCCAATTGTATTAGGTACATATGTTGCACGAGAATTGTCCCCATATATAGAGTGACCAGTCAAAAAAAAGTTGTCCATAGAGTAGGATTTCCTGGTTCCATTGCAGAAAACGGAATCGGAGTACACTATTTTGGAATGCATGATTATTCTTTGTTGTTGGAAGTGGGCTTCACAAGAAAATTAGGAAATTTCCAAAGAAGATTTATAGAAATTTGTTAAATTTGATCAGAATTTAGCTGAAATTAGAAAATGACTTTTTTAGAACGACATACCGGAAGTACATCTTGTTTCATCAAGTGACTGTGGGGCTTACTGATTGCAAGCAAAATTAATTAATAAAGCGCTACGCACCAGGAGACTAACAGTATATGAGCAAGAGCTCATTGTGGTACAAATCGACGAACATGGACAATCTAGACTAGAACTAGAAGAAATGTAGATACAATATTGAAAGAGCAATTCAATTGGCCAAATTGGGTTGAGAGAAGATTGTTTTTACAATTGAACCGGCCTTAGCCCTCGTATAGGGGTTGGTCTTACTTCCTCAGGTCCTCATCTACGTTCAACTTGGGATAAAAGCCAATGAAAACCTAAAACATACCTCCTCGAGCAAGCAAACCCGAGACCCGACAAAAACAGCTCGGAGCTGGCCACAAACCGCCGGTCAGACCGGCCACAAAACCACCAGTCAGACTGGCCCACACGCGGCGGTTAGACTGGCTCCGTGAAGGAAACTGGCACTTTCCAAACTTTGACAATATTTTTCTAATTTGATCCTCATGCCAAATTTAGGTATACTGCAGCCTGCAAGTCCAGAGTGAAAGATTGAACTGAATAGACTCTAATTTGAAACGCACACATCATATTAAATGCTGCAGTATATTCGTCTCATAATATAAGGGATTTTGACATTTTGCTTGCACTGTTTGACCACTCGTCTTATTTAAAAAATTTGTGCAAATATACAAAAGAAAAGTTGTGCTTGAAGTATTTTGGATAATAAAGTAAGTAAAAAGAAATAAATAATAATTAAAAAGAAATTTGAATAAGATGAATGGTTAAACAGTACAAGTAAAATGTTAAAATCCCTAATATTAGGGGACAGACGGAGTAGCTTTCATGTGCTAATTATTGCACAATATGTACTTTCATGCATCCGTCTCATCATCTCACCCAATAAAAGGTGAAGGTACAGCTAGCAGAAATTTTGCCTAGCTAGTCAGCATGCACTGTTTAATTCTAGCTCGTTTTTTCTTCAATGTGCAGCTAACCAACATCTTGTTTCCAACTTCACACTGTGGAGGGAATTAGGCATGGTGGGCATCAGGGATTTTTGCAAAGCCGCCGAAAGAATGAATGCCCCAAGAAAGTTCTTAGGACGTACAAGATGTGTTCATGAGGGGTTTGCACGCTCATGGAGCAGAATAAACAGCCGTGCAAAACGAAGGCATGCATCACGCAACTCTGTTGCGCGCCCTCCAAGTAGAATATTGCTAACCATGTGTGCAACTATGGTGAGGTGGATGGTTGGGTCATCTAAAGAAACAGCGGGACAATGTATCTGGCCGCCGGATTGGATGGATTCCATGCAGCCAACCTTTAAAGTTGTGGACCGTCAATCAAATCGTGACAAGATATACAACTATTAAATAGGTTAAAACAAGAATTAATGTTGAATTAGAGAATATTGATTCGCGTGTATCCGTAACATCGGACATGTGGACCTCAAGTCGAAACTTAGGATACATGCTTGTCATAGCACATTATGTTAATGAAAAATTCAAAATGAAAAAGAAAATTATAAGTTTGAAGTATGTGAAGTATCCACACACTAGCTTTGCAATTAGAGAAGCCATGATGAGGTGTTTAATTGAGTGGGGCTTGAGTAGCAAACTGTTCACCTTAGACAATGCTATTAACAACACACTGTTTGTCAAGAATTAGTGAAAAATCTCAAGGATGAGTTGGTATTGGAAGGTACTTCCTCCGTCCCACAATACTTGTCTACTAGCATTCAAAAATTGTCCCAAAATAGTTGTCACTTGGAAGTACTACTTGTCACATCAACCACTTTCAATCCAAATTTCTCCCCATCATACCCCCAACCACCATTCCACATCTAACTATATAATATTTTATTAAGGGTATTATAGTCTTTTTTTCTAACCTTAGCACATGCTAAACAACCTATAATGACAAGTATTCTGGGACAGAGATATAAGACATTTTCATGTGAGGTGTTGTGCTCACATCCTTAATTTGTTGGTTCAAGATGGAATGAAGTGGATTCGTGTGGAAATAGATAAGATCCGTGAGATTTTAAAGTACGTTGAGCATTCGCCTTTTATGCATTCAAGTGTTTAGTGGAATTGTTTCTAGTAAAGGTCTTCCTTTAAAATCTGTTTTCGCTCTTGATGTAGCAACCTGTTGATAATTACAAAGCTGTCCTCAACAGCTATGTAACTGAAAATTGTGAAATTGGACCAACTGACAAAAAATAGATCCATGCTAAATTAATATATGAATTTCTAAAGGCCTTTGAAGAGGCTACTAGAGGTGTGTTGGCTCATAGGAGACCAACTGCACACACATTATTCTTGCCCTTGGTTCTTTCTATCCTTCATGATTGCCAAACCAGCGATGTTTTGGCACGATTGGCTACTCCTATGCATGCAAGTTTGCAAAATATTAAAATGATAATTTGCCTAACAACTTTAATTTGGTGCAGCGTCCAATGGCAATTGCAACCACACACGTCATAAACCTTCGAGGCACTACACAGGAAGCTAGATGGAGAAACATAATATACCAAAATCCGACATGCCTACCATGCCTAAATGTATGATATCGAGCTAGGTTTAACATGCATGGGAACAGAAGATGATTAGTAGAGCATAAGTGGACTAGTGTCTGCTAGTGGGCAACATCTCTACATAATTTCCTCTTTTATTGGATGAGCTGAGAGAAGCAAACACTTGCAAAGTAATATATATGGTCAGGGTACCATGTATAATAATTTTGCACACGCAAGAGGATTCACATTGGTGGTGCAGTAGTAATTCATTGCTTTTAATCGAGTTGGTTCAGCTCGAATGAGAAGGTTGTGTTCATATCAAAAACAGAAGCTAATATTACTAGGGTCATTGGTGTCGGTTCGTCGATAGAATAGGGGTACAAATGAGGCTTTTATTAGTGTTGGTTCATAGTTAAAACCGGGGGTGATGACTCCATCCCAAATTTAAAATTTTAGTACCGACTTATTACTACCAGTTATAGCTAGCAATGAACTGACACTGTTCGATGATAGCTATTTATTCAAACCAGCAGTGTTTGTCCACCCACTAATTAATCAGTGCAGGTTTTTGCTCCCAGCTAACACTTTGTGTTAGCATTAGTGCTAGTTCATGCCTATAGAAGACATGGGCCGAGTGTGTGAATGGGAAATTCACTATCAGGTCATGGTCCTCGACGAGCATTGATACGGTGGTATGTTGGTACTATTATGTAGTAGTGAGCCTAATCAAAAGAGTACCAAATAGATCCCTGAAGAAATCTGACCCCCTCACACACTCAAACAATTAATTTACGCCCATTTTATATAGAAAATGGGATAATTTGGTAAAAGAGTTCGGTCTGCCAGATTGAGCAGGCTTTCGTACATATGCAACAAATGAATTTATGGACCGTGATCCATAACAAATGACAATATATAGTAGGTGCTAGTAGAGTATTCCACCACGCTATAGGCAAATTCTACTGTTGCTAATCAGATTCCCAATACCTTCCGATAATGCTAGACGTCGAGATGGCATATATCTACAAAAGAAGAGTTATCATTTCGTTGAGTAAAACAAATTGGAAAAAAACTGCGATATGATGCAAGATTGTGGCAAGCGCTCTAGTTTGGGTGATTCATATCGCACACCTTCACTTTTAGTACTACTCCTATTTGCGACGATTCACTGCTACATGTAAAGGTTTTAATTTTTGAAAACAGAACTAATCAAGTCACTCACCAACAAGCCTGCTCATCATGTCTTCTGTGCTTCATAAATTTCGCATGTACTATACCTCCCTCATTTCTGTAGTTTTCACCAAGATTAAAAATATGAGTAAAGTCGTACACTACTAGAAAAAACATTTTCCACACGATGACATTTTTTCCCAGACCTCTCAGAACCAAAATGACCGCCTACAAAAATGACAACGGGGGGTGAGACTGTCGTCCGCTTTATGTGAAAATAGTTTTTGCAGTCGCAGGCGGATGCTTTATGTGGTCTAACTGCAAAAATCGTGCCTGCAGCTTAAGCAGCTTTGATTTGAAAAAAATAAAACCATGTCAACTATAATGTGCTAAATGTTAGATTCAAATCAAATACTAGTTACAAATTCGCGTGAAGTAATTCTAACTTTAATTAGGATTTATCACATTTCTGGTTAACTAAAACTAAACAAAGACCATGGCAATAAAAACTGAAGATATACTTGATGGTATTTTTCAATACTAGCATATTTTAATTAGCATGAATTTGTAAATTGTAATACAATCTACGTTGCGATAATACGGACCTATGGCTTCTCCCTGATCAGACCCAATTAATATATGCATGTTGGCTTTGAACTAGAGGTGTAGTACATGTATACGGACCTACTAATTGTCCTCTCGCGTATGGTCCACTTCATAATAGCCATACCATTGTGTTATTCCCACATCAATAATCTTGGTTTGACACTAAAGAGCAGGCCATATATGTTGTGGAGCTGCTGACACTGGTGGAGAAACCCTTTGTAGTCCCGGTTCGTAACCCCCCTTTAGTCCCGGTTTCCAAACCGGGAGTACCAATCCGGGACTAAAGATCGCTATCTTTAGGTCGGCCTTATGTTCAAAGTGCTTACCTTTCTTCCGTACCGGGTGGTTTGCTGCAAGGAATCGACGATGACCCATGTATACAACCTTCCTATAGTGCTTAAGATACGTACTTTCTGTTTCATCCATACAGTGAGTGCAAGCCTTGTACCCCTTGTTGGACTGTCCGGATAGGTTGCTAAGTGCAGGCCAATCGTTGATGGTTACGAACAGCAGCGCTCGTAGGTTAAACTCCTCCTGTTTGTCCTCGTCCTACACGGGGACACCTTCCTTCTTCCACAACTGTTTAAGATCTTCGACCAGTGGTCTTAGGTACACGTCGATGTCGTTACCAGGTTGCTTGGGGCCTTGAATAATAATCGGCATCATTATGTACTTCCTCTTCATGCATAGCCAGGGGGGGAGGTTGTAGATACACATCGTAATGGGCCAAGTGCTATGGCCGCTGCTCATCTCTCCAAAAGGATTCATGCCATCCGTACTCAAACCAAACCGTATGTTTCGTGCGTCCTTTCCAAATTCTTTAAATTTTCTGTCGATGTTTCGCCACTGCGAACCATCGGTGGGGTGTCTCAGCATCCCGTCGTGTTGACGCTCTTCAGCGTGCCATCGCAACATTCTAGCATTCCCCTTGTTCCTGAACAAAAGCCTTAGCCGTGGTATTATAGGGAAATACCACATCACCTTAGCAGGAATTCTCTTCTTTGTTAGCTGCCCGTCAACTTCTCCTGGATCGTCCCGTCTAATCTTGTATCGTAGTGCTTTACAAACAGGGCATGCTTCTAGGTTCTCATACTCCTCACCGCGATATAGGATACAATCGTTCGGACATGCGTGAATCTTATGAACTTCCAGTCCTAACGGGCAGACTATCTTCTTAGCCTCGTACGTTGTCTCGGGCAATTTGTTTCCCCCCGGAAGAATGTTCTTGACGAGTTTCAATAAATCGCCAAATGCCTTGTCACTAACCCCATTTTTTGCCTTCCATTGCAACAACTCCAGAGTGGTAGCCAACTTTTTGTGCCCCTGCTCGCAACCTGGGTACAACGAAGTTCTGTGGTCCTCCAACATCTTGTCCAATTTATGGGCCTCCTTTTCACTTTCGCAGTCCTTCCTGGCGTCCTGCAACATCTGACCAAGATCATCCGCAACGTCGTTACCATCAGCAGCTATTTCCTCCTCGCCCGTTTGATTTCCTTCAAATCCAACATACTGAGCAAAGTCCGGAATATTGTCGTCTTCCACTTCATCTTCTTCCATTTCAACACCTTGCTCTCCGTGGGATGTCCAACAATTATAGCTTGGCATGAACCCCGACTCAAACAAGTGGAAATGAATAGTCCTGGATGCAGAATACTCCTTCTGATTCTTACACTTATTGCATGGACAACAAATAAAACCCCTTTGCCTGTTAGCTTCGGCCACTCTCAAAAAATAGTGCACGCCGTCAATAAACTCTTTGGACCGCCGGTCAGCGTACATCCATTGCCGATCCATCTACATGAGTCAAAAAAACCGTACACAAATAATTATTCTTACAATAATGACAGTCATACAATAATTATAAGATATCTTTATTCATACAAAAATCATAAAATATTACACCAAATAATTCTTAAAAACTATTTGTAAAGTTTTAAACTAATTTTAATGTGTTTTACTTCTTTTAATTTTCATTTTAGTTTGTTTTCTATTATTTAAGATTAACTTTCACTAGAGTTTTCCTTCTCAACTATTTTATAAAACCTTGTTTAGCAAATGAACTAAATTTCTATATATTCTTTCTTCCCCACACACATTTTCTCTCTCATCAACTTACAACTAAATTTTGGAGACAAAAAAAGTGTGCAAAACATAGGTGCAAATGTAGTATGACAAAAAAAAATATTGGAGGATGAAGTTGCAAACCTTTTAGGCACCTCCAATTTGTATGTAATCACCAAAATAAATTCAATAGAAATTTTGGCATGACCTCCCCTCTTTTTTGAAGAAATTTTGAAGCTTGCTCGGGCAGCTGGAGGAGGAAGAAGACATATATATAGGGGTGGGACTTTAGTCCCGGTTGGTAGCACCAACCGGGGCTAAAGATCACCGGGATCTTTAGCCCCGGTTGGTAATACCAACCGGGACTAAAGTTACGATCTTTAGTCCCGGTTGGTGGACTAAAGATCCCGGGGGGGCCTGACAGGCCCTGACAGCATTCGAACCGGGACTAAAGATGATCTTTAGTCCCGGTTGGTAACACAAACCGGGACTAAAGATCAAATATGCCCGTTACCCTTTTGAACCAGGACTAAAGATCATCTTTAGCCCCGGTTTTTATTGCATCCGGGACTATTGTGGAAATCGGCCGACCGACGAAAGATGGTTTCTCCACCAGTGAGATTCCTGACGTTTCTCATCCCTATACTTGTACATAAATGGCGTAATTAATAGGCACGGAACTGTGGTAGTAATAAGATATGTAAGAGAAATACAAAATTAGCAATGTAATTATTGCATGCACAATGTGGTGAGGAAACGAGGCGAGAAAAGCTTGGTGTTATATAGTTAAGGGAAAATATATACCCCTCCATCCAAAAAAAAAGACCAATGTGTGTCCAGATTCATTGTTAGGATTCGGTTTTTTTTCGGACAGAGTAGTATGTACGAGATGCTCATGATGCCCCTCCAAAAATCCAAGTTAATCATCCACGGGGCCTTCAGTTGTACTCTGAAATATTAACGTTTGTACGTAGTCTATCTAATATGAAACAGAGGAAGTAGTTAACTGCTAGCTATCGCTTCGTTTCATATTATAAGTCGATTGATTTTTTTAGTCAAAATCTATTAGGTTTGATCAAGTTTATATAAAAAAATAGCAACATCTACAATACCAAATTAGTTTTATTAAATCTAACATTTAATATATTTTGATAATATGTTTGTTTTGTATTGAGAATGTTAGTATATTTTTTTTATAAACTTAGTCGAACTTAAATAAATTTGACAAAAAAGTTGAACGACTTATAATATAAAATGAAGGTAGTACAAGTTTCGAACAAGACAACAACCGATCAGTAGCTAGCATCCTATGCGTAGTTCTCGGCAGCCACATCGTCATCTTCACCGTCATCACTGGAGTCCTCGTCATCAACCTCATGCTCATCATTGTCGTCACCACCGTCATCATCATCACTAGAGTAGTCTTCAGTTCTTCACTGTCCTCATCCTCACTCTCGTCATCATAATCATCGCTGCTGGAACCCAACTGCTCATGGTACACGGAGGAGGGGAGGCGAGGTAGTACGGCGGCGGTGGGGTGCGGCAATGAGGCGTGCAAGGTAGGCAGGTAGTGGGAAGCTCCGCACGAGGGATGGGGACTGTGGTGCTGGAGTGGCGGTGGTGGTAGAGGCTGAAGAGGAGAGCCTTGTCGGGGAAGGTGGAAGATACGAGAGATATGATTTGGAGGTATTTTTGCAAAAAGACCGTCATATTTGTTAGTATTATAGCGCCGCCACAAAAACCGAAATCTTCTCTTCTTTAGGTTATATTTCTCAAAAGTATATAGGGTTTTCCACAAAATTTATAACGGGATAAAAGCGGTGGAAGGGTTGCTTCGAGATTTCTTAGAGTATTAGGGTTTTTATGAAAAAAAATGTGCGTGGAGTTGTGTGGCACTCATGCATGCCTCTACTCATGCCCGGTTTACCGTACTAGAGCACACTGGCAAATTGGGAACAACGCTTGATCGCCGAACCGCATGCCATTAGTTCTACTGGCCCAATCAAGGAGCTCTGTTGCACAAAAGACAACGTGGCAACCAACCCGAGAAGCCAAACAAAATTCAGAAAATGGAGGAAATCGGTAGCAATATGGGCGTTGTATATTGATGATTATGAGCCAGATTGAATCGGGTCGACTCTTTTTTTTTCTCTTCTTAGTATAAAACAAGTCATCCTTGTTCTCCATCTCAAGGTTTACCACTTTACCTTGAAATAAAAACAACTTCAATTGAACCATTAGGAGATAGCTCCACACTCCCATCATTGATCTTATCTCTTCCTCGCATATGTTTATTGCATATTTCCCTGTGCCTCCTACTCCGATAATATATATGTATTTGTTGAACTGACAACTGCATAACTTGTCAAGCAAAGAGTTTACAATACTGATCTTATAAATATATATGGATGCCCTCAAGTGCACTCTCTTGTGCATCACCTCATGGTCTCTATAAAACTGAGAATGCCATGTAGGTATATATACATATATCACAAACTAACTCCATCTCTTGGACTCCCGTCTCGCTTGTCTTGGGCGGGCTAGGAGGCGATAAGACTTAACCCGTGAGAGACCACCGCCAACCACCTCGCCGGCAGCTGCGAGGCTCCCTACAGCCGCCGGCGACGCCTCCTTTCTCCCTCCACCTCCCTCAGCCAGCCCCCTATCCTTCCCTTCTCTCTCTACCTCCCTTCTCTTCAGATCTGGAGGATGGTGACCATTTGCCAGCGAGCACTTTGTTGACGGCGAATGGGCCTCCCATATCTAGCGACTTGCCATCTCCGTGGCTCCTCCTGGGGCTTGTGCGTTGGACTGGATGTGCTCCTTTCTAGCTCGTCATTATCAATGCCCCTGGCTAGGGTTCGGCAACGGTGGACAGCGGCGGCCTGAGCGTCAATCGCTAGTCCTCGGCAGGGAGAAGGCAGTGGCGACAGCTTGGGAGGTCGGACGGAAAGGACCTCCTCGACAGCAGTGGTGGCGGCCCTAGGGGTAGTGCCGGCCCTGAGCGCCAGTGCAAGGTTCTTGCGAGGAGGAAACAATTCAGATGGAGGCGAATCCCATCAGCAACTGTGACCCTAGGAGCGGTGGAGGCCTAGGAGTCCGGGTGGAAGAGGATATCCTCAGCGGTGGCGGAGCAGGACTGAGATTTCGGCAAGATTTATGGACCCCAGCGGAGGCGACAGCTGCTCTAGGGGCGGCAGTGGGCTGCGAGTCTGGGAGGTGGAAGAGAATCCAATGAAGGCAGCGGCCCTATGGGCGGCGGTGGCCTAGGAATCTGGTGAAGCAGAAGCAAGTCCTGTTGATTCGCGTCTGGTTGGCTAGTTTGACTAGACGATGATGGATTAAGGTGGGCCAATCGGAAATGCATGGTGTCAACTCACTTGAAGTGGATAAAGATAGCAACAGCGGTGGTATGCAGCGACGGCTTGCCGAATCTGACCGTTTCTGGAGAGAATGTCAGGAAGCATTGGTGTGTTGAGTTCATAGGTTATTTTCTTTTGTTAGTTGTGTGTTGTCCTTCTTGTTGAGGTGTGAGTCTAAGTACTCTCATTTTGGCTGTGTATATCCTTCGTGGATATAGAGACCGGATTAATGAATTTTCATATGGTCACAGTTTTAATTAGATAATGGATTTTCATTAGATTAATGAATTTTCAGCAAATCCATTATATATATGCAACATATGGTCACAGTTTTCAACAAACAAATATAGGTATGTTGGAGGCATGTGGAGGGACTAGGTGAAGTAAATGAAATGTAAAGGCAGCTATAGTGTGGTAGATATACTTACGATATATTATAAAATCAAAATCATGCCGGGTAAAATATTTGAAGGACTATGTTTACACCTTATTGTAGGTTATAAAAGAAGAAAGGAATGTGAGAGGGCAGATAGAGATGAGAAGAAGGAGAAATCAGTTGACAATGTTCACATGGACAAATATGGTGCTGCATCATGCTCCATTTCCGTTGCTAGGTGGTAGATATATATATTTAGATGCGATACGATGAATCATAGACATGGGAAGCATTAGGAATTAATTTTAACTTATGGTATCTATCTAGTTGAATCTATTATTACCGAACCTCGCAATTAACCTCTGTACCTCTTGTTTGTTCCATTGGCGCCCATGCATGATTGTTGTCTCGTCAATGGAGCTAAGGAAAGAGTTGATGAGTCCCCTAGACCTGACAAAAGCACCAAGGTGTGGTCTCTTCCTAGAAATCTAAATGTGTTGTAGTGAACCTTAGGAAATCGCTGCGGGGCATTAATTTGCAACCTCAGCCAGAACTCTGATTGTCCACAATGATCATTTTGCAAGATTTTTTTTTGGTACAAAGCTACTTTTGCTCGTAATAGCAATTGAAAGTATGTTATGAATGGCTTTCTATCTGTCTGAGCATAGCTGTTCTTGAGAAATATATAACTAAAAAAAAAAATCTAAGCCATTCTCTCGTGCACTTTACTCTTATATTTATCTTAAGACAGTGCACCTGAAATCAAACTTTGGTGTTCAAAATCTCGTAAGTACATGTGCATGGCTTGATTCTTAGCGTCCATATACACATGCTCTGTTCCATGGTAATTACTCATCGATCGGATTAATCGATGTCCATGTATGAACAGATTAATTATAAATAGCACGAGCATATTATGAGCAAAGCGACATACACGATCTAACTCCAAGAAAACTCTAGTAGCCTCAAGCGCCTAATTAACACGATCTAACTCCACAAGTAGCCCAATTAGCCCATTTTGGCGATCCAAAAATTTAGATGAGCCTACTTGGGCTTGTTCATTTGTCCCGTACTGATCTAGACAACTGAGATGACAATTTTCTTCAGGAGATTGCATCATCGAGCTCTTCCTCTCGTCGTCGACGAATCGGGTCAGCTTCATAGCTATGGCTGGCGACGAGCCAGGCGATGCTGTCAAGCACGCTGTGGCTGTACCATTACCTTGCAACTGATCTATTTTGTGTTGCTCCTGAAACCTGGATGCACATGAACCACGCAATGAGCCAAGTGATCGTCATAATAACAATTTTATATAATCTGCTAGGCAGTTTGTAGTTAGCTATATACACTACAATATCGATCATTTTCTTGTTGAAATGTGAGAGAGGTAGCATGCATTAGCTATTATATTATGCAAGGTAAGCAAGGTTAAGTATGCATACCTCTATGGGACTACATCAATCATGTCGACTAGTAGTATATTTCCCCGTGCCTCCAACTCCTATATAAATCATGCATTTGTTCAATTAGCAACACCTATATATATTATAAGCCGGATATTCATGTTGTGACGCAGCATATGATGTATATATAGGCCTCAAGCGCCCTAGCTTTCATATATACTTCAACTCTTCAAGGCAGCAAAAGCCAAGAAGCCTGTTACATGCTGAGTTTGCTTCTCTACAAGGGTAAACTCTATATATGCTAGGCAATACTCACCAGGGTTGCCAGCCTCTTAATTCGTTGAACACGTTTTATTAATATTGTTAGAATAGATGTCGAATATATACTAGTCCTATTTGGCTATAGTTGGACTTGGAGTTATAATAGGTGGTAGGGGGTGGAGTTAGAGTCGAGCTCTGTAACCTGGTAACTCTCTTAAATAGAGAGGGGGGCACCACAATATAACTATGGCGACTACAATATAGCGTAGACACGCAGGGAGATGATGGCGACGTGGCCATGGACTCGTAGCGACTAGGAGCTATATTGGTTTGAGAGGAGTGCCCATAATCAGAGCCCTGGGGAAGTAGGCTTCGGTTGAACCTTGTTAACAAATATCGTGTGTTCCTGTGTCGTTATCTGACGTGTCTTAGGTGATCAATGACTAAATCGATCAAGAAGGTTAGTCGTCGTTCCGCTATATCGACTAATTTACTTTTATAACAAGCATCAGGCCCAAAAACATTGAATCTCAAGCCAATACTAGTGCGGGCCAAATTTAGATGGGCGGGCCTACTTGGGCTGTATCCCCAAACCTGGCTACAGTGGGCCGAACTTTTCTAGACAAAGGACATCATTTTATTACGTCTATATCAGTATGTGATGTTTTTTGGGTTTTAAATAGATTCATATATAGATTAATATATGAGCTTTATTTATGTGTCTAAATTTATATGCATGTTAGTGAATCTAGATGCACCGATCTACCTCTACGTGTGCTAGTATGATCAATTCGGTTAATTTTTACTGTTAAATTTAAACATTAAGTCTTATATATATCGTACGGAAGAGGTGGTGTATATATGCATACTCTATTTTCATTATTTATTCAAACGTAAGTATATAACAAATTGTATTAATCTATGCCAATTAGCCTAGCTTGATAACATTTTTTCATGATTCTTTTTCACAAATAACCCAAAACAATTAAAAAAGAAAAAAAGTACCTTACCTTTAATTTGCACTTAAACATCCTATCTGTTTTGACGATGAAGAATATAAATAATTTCTTATACGGATGAATTAGATATTATATAGAATAAAGCTAACTAATAGCTTCAAAAATATTTAAGCGATGTCTGTGGAGAAAATATACTTATTAAGAGTGGCAGGTGCTATATATCCCGTTAATATTCCATCCTGAAACGTAGCACCATGCATGCCCATGCATTCGTACGGTCTATCTTACTAGTTTGATCAAATGCATTCGAAATTTTCATTTCAGATTACTTCGTATATTACACTTCCAAAGCTCTTTGTAATGGTGCAAAATTAATGTTTTAGAGAACTTTTTGTGCATATAAAATTTGCTTAGAGTATTTTTAAAACAAACGACTTGCTTTGTAAGTTTGTAATAACTAATAACTCATTCATGAACACTCAAATATTATCAAGTGTATTCAGGAGTTTGAACTAGGAATTACAAAAACATTTGTGTTCACCCCCAATTAGCGAGGAGCCCGAACGGAAAGTTGAACATATCTAAGGAATGAACAAATGACCCGGCCGCTAGCGTGCACTCGATCGTGGATGCATACAAAGTCGAGGAAAAGTGTCTCCGTACCTCGCTGTACTCTTGCTCTTCTGCTTATGATCGAGTTAGGATCGCTTCCAGGTTCCCTGCACTTCAACAATATGAGGCTATGCGCGCGATTCTTGATGCCTCTCATGCCTGCCTAGTTTTGAATATTGTGTTGGTGCTGAAAGGATTGCTATATATATATATATATATATATATATATATATATATATATATATATATATATATATATATATATATATATATATATATATATATATATATATATATATATATATATATACAGGCAAATGCAAACAATATTACAAGATCAACAAGCCTACAAGACGATATTCCAGTTGGAAATAGTCCCACATTGCTTATTTAGGGGGAGTTGAACCAACTTAAAAGTTGGGGAGTCTCTTACCTCTTAAGCTAGATTTTGAGGTGTAGCAAGACTTTATTTCGGTTGGACCAATGTCTCTCGGTTTTGGGCCATCAAGTGGTAAGCCTAAAGCCCATTGGACCACTGGTGTGAAGTCCGTATGTGCCCATGTTGTGGGGCCGGTCAGTGGACCGCGGGTGTGAGTCCTGTATGTGCCCGTGTGTGGAGTCAGTCAGTGCTGAGGGCACCAATGTATGAGGAGATATTGTTGGGGAGTCAGTGCTGAGGGCACCAATGTGTGAGGAGATATTGTTGGGGGAGTCCCTAACCTCTTATACTAGCTTTTGGGGGTTGGGCCAGTTCCGTACGGCTTTCAATATGTGTATCCACGCCATGCTCTTCCTCTTGCCCATGATTCTTTGCCTAAGGATATTGACCCGTGACGCGAGCAATGAGTCCGGTAGTTTGGCCAAGCTCATATGGCAACCGTACCATGCCAACAAGGCGAGGATCGTATCTCCGAGATGCCGTAGCACACAGACTCAGTGATAAGAATCGTGTAAGGGGTTCTCAAATCAAATACAAAAATGGAAGTTTAATTATTCTATTTCTTTAAGGTTTTATGTCATGAAATCATTTAGATGGGTAATGTAAATGAACCATATAACTATGTAGACCTATTCATAATAGATTGATACTAAAATAACAGATCCAAATTATAAGAAATCATGCGGAAGCTACAAATGCTGACTTTGTACCCTTCCATATCGATACAACATACATGATAGTTCGAGTATTTCCTGCTGAAAAATGGTAGAGCACTATAGCTGTCATAATAATAAGCCTGGTCATAGCAACTCGTAGCATATTTCCCCATGCCTCCTACTCCTAAATCATGTGTTTGATGTAGGCCTTGTCAAGCAGGAGATCTATATATGAATACGCGCACTCTCGCATAGAGGTCTCTTATACTTCAAGCAAGCAAAATGTTGTGTACTTTTTAGGTGATACTTGCTACTCAGTTGTCCTTTGTTTGTCAAACTGTATTGGTATCTAAATTTTTGTCAATGATATATATATGCCTATGATTTGCAGTTTTGGACAAATAAATATGGATGTAGGTGGAGAAATAAAAAGCTATATAAAGCAAGTGGAGCATAAAGGCAGCTATACAATGTAGTAGTAGGTACATAATGTCACTCCTTCCATCCAAAGTTAGGGATATTTCATTTTCTTTAGGTTTTTCCAAAAGAGATGGTAATATTGTAGTCTCCACATGCTAAATTTATTATTGACTGGAACCCAATAAGAAATTTTAGTACTTATTGGTTGCATTCATGCATATAGTTTCTTGGTTTTTCTACATGGGAGATGAGTTAATTATATTCCTCAGTTTTAGTGACAAAAGAAGTATGTTTATATTTTTTTAATGGAGAGAGTACCATCAGACCCTGTTATTAAAGGAACACTGCTTGCATCTTATGCTTCACATATAAAAGAAGAAAGGGATGAGATACGATGCAGAGGTCGAGAACTACAGAATTGTCAAAGAGAAACCAGTTTATAATTTTCACTTTGTACTCCATGCTCTAATTCTGTTCTATGATAAGTACTAATTTACTTGTGCTGGGTTCATTTTTTTTTCAAAAAGATACTATGATGATCACATAAGCAGGCTTGAGAAGTGTTGGGATTTGTTATTTCTGGTGCAAAAGTTGTTTATGCTCTTCTGAGCAAAGCTTATGCTCTTTTTTGTACACGCATCCTTTCAACGGGGGATTCCATGTTTAGTTTTCCCATCAATGGCCTGTGATATAAGCATGTTGAGGTTAAAGGAAGAGAGAAAATATTGAAGTGCATGTCCAACAACAGCAAGAGACTAGGAAATATCCAAAGAAGATCAGTATGGAATTGGAATTCAAATTCCAATTCCGTTTGCACAGATTTATTAATGAATATTCTCAACTAATCATTTGATCTCTTCTCCCTGGTTCTTATCTGGTGGAAATTTCATTGTCGAATATATATGATGGTGCTAGTGCAGTGCAATTTCATCTCTTAGCAACTGCGGCTATAAAATGATTATGCTCCATTTCACCAAAGTGTTTAGTTGTATCATTGTTGAAATTGCAGCAACTGATCGAGTTGTTCACATGGATTACATATACAAGGACCGTGCTTTATAGCTTTGTCACGATCTATTCAACTGTTCAAGCCGGGGACGCTAGATAGAAATGGGTTCTAGACAGTCCATGATCCTAAGGCAAACCCAGCATCCTCACTGGCAGCTGGAAATTTGGGTTGCCTATAAAAAGGAAATCATTTTCTAAATAATGTTGGGTTCCTACATAATAAACACAAGAGTACCATCGTGCTAATTAACGGTGTGTGACATTATGTAATTTGTAGACTGAATATATACTTAACAGCACATTCTACACTCTTGTATAAGTTTGTTTCTAAGATAAACAGACTATCTACATAACATGCAAGAGATCACTAATCACTAAAGTAAAGTTATGTTATGACTGTTCTAAGTTGTAAGCTGGTTTTGCTGATCAAGTACCGGTTTTATAACAGATTCAAGGAAGAAATTTTTAACTTGAGGGAAACCAGTACTGTATATGTTTAGTTCAATTCAAGGTCGTTGTTTGATCAAAAGAACTAACTAAAGGTCCAGATCAAATGTAAAGGTGATATTCCACGATGTGAATTTTCTGCATCACATACTGAATGAACACATAAATAAACAGATAACACAAATAGAGCCCGCACATTGCCGTAGATTTTTTAAGATACAGGAAGCTTTTATTGAACCCAGCCAACAACTATAGCAAGAAAATACAAAAGCACTGAAAGCCCGAGCGTCACCGTAAACGATTAGATGGATCCAACTCAAGGCATGCAGGCTTGGAAGATATGGTGGTCCTTGTACTCCCAGACTTGCAGCTGTAAGGTAACTGCGATGTTGCCCATGATTCACTTTGTCAGGCTGATCCATGCAGCCGGCGGAGGAGTCAGTCGGCGACGTCGAGCAATCGGCCACCGTGCCATGATGAGAGAACCTTCAAGGTAGCACCCAAAAACTGAGGCAAACAGTGATATAATCTTATCAGTACCAGGCAGGGAGCTATATCATTATATATTATTACTGATAATGCAGATTAATTAATTAAGTGATTGATTAAGCTGTGTTAGGAGGTAAGTAACGAGCATATACCATTATGGGAAAACTCTCGTTTCAATTTGTCGTATCATGTTTCCTAGTGTCTCCAACTCCTACTATATATGCAGCACTAGTCGACATTATGTGTACAAGCCTAGCTTGTGAAGCAGGAGATCAAATGCCTCAAGTGCACTACTCTTATATACACATGATATGCATATCCGGCGGCTGGCCAGCAGAAAAAAAGTTGTGTATGTAGTTTATTTTGTTGTCAAACTTCATTGCACTGATGAGAGATCTACCTCTACACATGTGCTATTTGGTTGTGCACCAGTAGTAAAAAGGTTGTGTAGGAGACTAGTACACTTGGGATGTACTCGCTTCGTATTTTAGTGTATGACACCGTTGATTTTATAATCAACGTTTGACCACTCGTCTTATTTAAAATATTTATGCAAATATAAAAATACTTATGTCATACTTAAAGAACATTTGATGATAAATCAAGTCACAATAAAATAAATTATAATTACATAAATTTTTTAAATAAGACGAAAGGTCAAACGTTTGTCAAAAAGTTAACGGCGTCATATATTAAAATATGGAGGGAGTATATGATTGGGTGCATATGCATTGCTGACCTGCAGTCCGTAGAAGAATTAATACAGGTAGTAATAGTCTCTATTGTTGCATTCTGGCATTAAAATGATGTGCCTATATATCGGCTTTGAACAAATATATTTTACTGTCTTAAATCATAGCTAAGATTATTTACAGTTGAATGCAAATAATTAATTAATGAAACTCCGGCCTTCGCTTGGGTTCAATATATTATTAATTCCTCCACACTACACTATCTTGAACCAACTACACTATCTTGAACCACTTCGCATCTTCTCAAGGCTACAATCTAGTCTAGGCAAGGAAAACGAATTGAATGCATGCTCGGATCAATACATCACCACAAAGCATGGATGTGCTTTTTTACATAGCGTTGTGCAATCTCTCATATGTACAGTGGACAGCATGCAGGCTGAAAATTTTACCGTGTTCCCGAAAAAAAAAAGAAGAAATTTTTACCATCGCTGAGATATCAACGTTAAGTTGGAGCATGACGTCGACTTAATTAGTAAATTAAGTTGTTTGGAGAGTACCTAGCAGCAATCATACCAGTGTAGGACCTCGTTCCTCGGATCGAGCTACTCGTACAATATTTCTTCTTGATGCCTCCTATTCCTATACGTACTCATATACATGCATATACATATGTTATGTGTATAGTGTACAGTAATGTAAAGTTCTTGTATAAACTTAGCTTATTAAGAGGAGGTGTGTTGCCCTCAAAGGACAATAGTTTTTCATTTAGTGCAAGGAGGTGTGGAAATGGAACTCCAATGCACTAGAACTAGAGACTTTCAATAATTTCTCGATTTTCTGGTAATATTTCCTCTCATTTCTTCCATAACCATGGGGTTTATTTATAGGCATAAGGTTCCTGGTATAAGTGCATCCTTAACATCATTATGGGGCAGGTTAAGGGGTACATATATATGCTGTCAATTTGCCTAATGATCAACCTGATGGACTCTAAATGGGTTGCCATCTTGGGTCCAACATCAAGGAACATGCCAATTGTCCAGGGCCCAAGTGGAAGTATAATTCTCTTAGCTCATTTCCAACAGTAGTCGACACCTCAAATGGACCCCGTCATCTCTAATGGTCTTCAATCGTTACATTTGTAAAGACTTGATACGTGAATCCAATATTTATCAACGAAATAATTCCGGTTTGGTTTATTAATTTAATATATGTGAACATAGGTTAGCCAAGAGTTCTACTGAATTACAAATTCCACAAATTTACAGCAGCACATGCGAACTGAACATGCCACAGCCTGAATGTCACAGGCCAACTCTATACTATCGAATTAGCTCACAAGAAATTCGGATCGCCACCAATTAGGATGAGGAATGCTCTTGTGCCGCACCTTCTGTCTCAACAAAAGACCAACTGTGATGGAGTAACCATGCCATTGGTACTCCCACACACTTTCATTGCCGTTCAAATGAACCATCGGCGACGAGTCAGCCTGCGGTGTCGAGCACACGACCACCTTACCATGATGGTGTTGCCATTGTTGTAGCACCCCACAACTGTGGCAAACAATGATACATAATCATATCAGTAAGTAGTACTAGCTTGTGCTGAAATGATATAGCTTGATTAACATTGCTATTAGAACTACATGCATAGTCAACTATTTAATTAAGTTGTGTTAATTTGGAGCTAGCTAGCTATACGAACATACCAGTGTGGGACATCTTTTCCTTATGTGACTCATACCATGTTTCCTAGTGCCCTCAACTCCTACTTATATGTATATGCATGGTGTTAGGTGCCTCTTCAGTCGACAAGTAGTTCATATCCTAGCATAGCTTGTCGATCAGGAGATAAAATGCATTCATATATATATGCCTCAAGTGCACTATTCTTATATGTACATGCATGATATATACATGCATCCTGCTAGCATAAATGAAAGGTGCAGGTGTAGTTTTTTTTTTTTGTTGTCTCTGATCTCGTTGCACTGATCTACCTCTACACATGTGCTAGTATCAATTTGGTCATGAGTCTAACCAGTAGCAAAAGGGTTTTGTGTAGGAGTCAATAGGATTAATTGACCCACAGAGAGTGCGTGGAAAAATTAACTGTGATCATGCATAGATGTGTTATGTACTAGAGTCTGTTCATGCCGGCATGAATGTGCATGTCGGCTCATAACATCACAACATATACTAGAGTTGTTAATCTATACCTATACTAATCGGGCACTTTTTAGAAGCTCCCACGTTAACTGGGAATTATCAGCCGTTGATTACGTACATTGTTCGACCATGGCCGTAGATTGTGCCACAAATTTAACATTGATATCCAATCTAAACCGTACTGGGCTCATCCTAAGGCCCACAAAAAATATCTCCAAACAGCCCACATAATATCTCCAAACAACAATCATCTACAGCCATTGATTCTATCTCAAATACTCTTATCTGCACGTGGTAACGATAGGGAGGCAGATAGAGTTGACTCGAACGAACGACTGGAGATGATCCTCACGGATTGCCGATGATCCGGATTCCGAGCGGAGGTACCAAGACGAACGGAAATCCATCGAAGTTTTAATCTCCCACGAGACAACATCCAGATATATCAGGTTAGGTATTATTTCTTATCAATCCAAATGGATTTCTCATCTCACGCAATTTGGATCTAAGATTGCTAGGGCTTAGATTCACTAACCTGACCCTATAAATTTCCTTGCACATCGATCGGTCTCCACAATCATCTGCCATCGCATCTAGAGTCCACATAGCAATCCTCCATCCTTGCATTTGCTAGCCACGCAAGACTCAGGTACCCAATTTTGTGTGTTTATGCCATCTATTTTCCCTAATTAAGTTGTCTCGATATATTTTCCTTATTAAATATTTTGTTTTAAATTTGGTGAAAGCTTTCTAATCTGAAATTACATCAACCAAAACTCACCTATGACATAATTTGACCCAATTAACAAGATAATCTACATCAGATCGACAAGTTCCGTTCAACCTAAGAAGATCGATCTGTTCAAATTTGTTGCATCTACAGAGTCCATGTAGGTATTCTTCCATGTTTCTTAATTTCAAATTTGGGCTGAAATACTGGATTATACAATGCCGATATTTTGCCTATGTTCTGTATTCAGATTGGCAATTGACTAACAGCTCATCCAATATATAATCGATTTATGCAACCAGCTAATTGATGTTAAAGTTAGTTCCGAGGTAAATTCCATGTGAACCTTTCTTAAGTATATAGAAATTAATTAATATGTGATAAAATAAACAGGAACGCCGACAGAACAAAGCATTCCCAAACTGACGACTATGAAGTCAACAAGATTCATAATTTCTACCTATTAACAAACCTGCAAGATGTATTCACTCAAAGCATATTCTACAGACTACCATTATGAAATGATGTCAAAATTTCTGTACAATATGAGATTCACCAAAGTAATCTATAGCAAAAGAATATTACTGTTAAACCGGAAGAAAAATCATCCAGGCAAGCAAATATATATGTACCTTATTTCGTGAGGGGATGATTCAATGATGAAACTAACCAATAGTTGTGCCAATCTTTAACAGGGACATCTTCTCCTATTATCAGACTGCAACCCGGACATCTTACACAGCCGACTCTTTCTGATTTGGGGATTGGTCAGCATAGTCTGCTGCAGCGCCAACACCATCGGAATCTACCCGCCTGCAGAATCGGTCACCTTGCGGCGCACCTCCGTCGTCTTCGTATCGACAAATTCGATATCCTGAGCAACTCGCCAATGAACCTATTTTAGATCTGGGAGACAGTATGTGAACAAGTGACCAATAACTGTACAAGTAGATAAGCTGTACGAAGGACGCAGGAGGAAAATGAGAACCTGGGAGAAAGAGTATGATCCATTCCATGGCTACTTTCCAATTTCTTTTCACAAATATTCCACCTAATGCTAAAATTTAATTAAATAATTAGTTTTCCACTCAACACATTACTACACAAGGTTAAAACTTCGACACAATTTTTACTGTTGATTACAATATCAAAATAATACACCATTCAAAATACTCGAATTTTAAAAATTAAGAATGGTACCATGAATTCTATGATAAAAAAAGTTAATTCACTCATGAAAAAAATTAAAATAAAAAATTGCAGTTGAAATTGATTCGCCTTTAATTAGATCATTAAAATATAATATGATAAAAAATATTATTTAAAATACCCTGTGCAATGCACGGGTTGACGGCTAGTTTGGTTAATGAAGTAGTTCGATTTATTATGCATCTGTCTTATCAAATGTACTGCAATGTTCAATATATATATATATGCTACTATACCATACGTCCTGGCCCCCAACATAGGTGCTCCTCCTTTTCCATTTCTGTTCATGTGCATATGTTATATATGATGAACAAATGGGTATGGGATGTGTTGGGAATTTTGATCTGTCATACCACCTCTCTTCTATCGTCATGAAGACGATACTGACCTCATTGTGGAAGTGATCAGGGAGAGGAACCACCTTTACTGGGGTGGCCTTGATGATCTTCTTCCTTTAAGTTTTCAACTTCCACAAGTATCCCTCTTGAGGGTTTGGTTCCACAACTTCCAACGTGCACACATGCATGGTACCCACCCTGGATCCTCAACGATGGCTCGTACCGTATATGCACGCCTTGTTATTAGTGACAAATCGTTGCTTCAATTAGTATGGGTCTACATATAAACCATATGATTTGTGTTAACATTGGATGGCATTAATTTAGATCACCACATTCCCAATTTTGAAATAAACCATATGACGATGGTTTATAGACCATATTATCACAAATAATTTAGATTTGATACCAAGTACCCACATGCACAAAGTACAATTCTGTTTTCAAATGCCACGTGATCATTTGGATTGCACGCGCAAGAGATAAGTCTATTCGTTTAATTTCTCGATCAGCTATAATTAAGTTGGAGCACCTGCTGTGCTTGATTCTTCATTGCGATGTTATTAGCGGAATTAATGGTAGAGCGCTTCAGGGGCTAGGTCATCAAGCGAATATATATAGGTGATCTTCGAGTAAGTGTCGTGGCCTGGCCATATTCCGGTTGATACAGTAAGGAATAGGAGATGGTGGTCTTTGGCAGATGGCAGGTCTGGCAGTGATCTGATCCAATGCATCACTAGCTAGTTGACCATGTAAGCCTCTTCTTCTCATAACAAAATTCAGCCGGCAAACGCTTCTCCAGCAAGTCATAGAGATTGAGGATGTTAGTTACAAGAGACCCATGAAAATGATCGGGATGGTGTAGTAGCATCGCGATGATGTGCTGCAGCAAGGTTAGAATTATGTTAGCTTATTAATTAGTATTAGTATAAAAGACCGTTCATTTGTTCCAAAACTGGTAGAACACTAGCTATATATATATATATATATATATATATATATATATATATATATATATATATATATATATATATATATATCATGGTATTTGTATATATATATATATATCATGGTATTTGTATATTAAATTAGCTAAGTAGCTAACTATAGTCACGTCCAGAGTTTATACCAAAATCGGATTATCACCATTCCAGGTCTGCGTTAGCATATTTCCTGGTGCCTCTGGCTCCTAAACATCTGTTGTGTACGTGTAAATTCAATCCACAAGTGCACTTGTGTATAAGAGGCTAGCTACTCAAGCAGCAAATTGAAGTCCATATACACTATCTGCAGTTAATTTATTTGTCTGAAACCAACTGCATTGATACTGTACCCTACTGTGTGTATTAATTACAATTTTATTTTCGATCTCTACAAATTTAAGGCTCGTGCTAGGCATATTCAGGGCAAGTACTATGGGCATCTAAGCATAAGCTCCAAGATGCCACATATGACTAAATAGCGAGGTGCAAGAGAAAAGAAGGATGAGAGAGAAATAGTCACCTCTCATGCAATAGGCAACCCCTACACAAACTTCAATAAACATGTGAGAGTATTAGAGATATTGAGAATTGTGTGGTAGAGGTAACCTATTATATATATCACCTCTTAATTTAATTATGTATGTCATACATGAAATTGGATGTGGTAGTCACCTCTGCTGTAAAACTTGCCCTCATGCATCTACTTATCTGTCTAGCTCGAATGCAATTGCATACGGATCTCAATAAATTTTCAACTAATTTGTTGAGTGAAACATTAATTGAAAATACGTACGGTCATGTTCGATCGGCCGTATATCACTGCATATATATGCTACGTACGGTAACTGTGTATCACAACATACATATGCTATCATGTCCATACGACCAAGATTCCTAGCCCAAACATATATGTACTGTGGTTCATGATCCATTTCCATTCCATGTGCTTGTTGTGATGAACCGTGCATATAGACATGAGATGCGTTGGGAATTGTGATCTAGCTGAAGATGATAGTAATTTCATATCCGAACCCGGCATGGAGAAGACGGGCATCTCGCTAAGGGTGGCCTTGATGGCCTTCCTTTACTTTGCAACTTCCACATGTACTTCCGAACGTGCTTATCCACAGCTTATCACAAGAGGATTTGATGCTAACCAACCTCATCAAATAGCATCTTCCTTAGCTGCTGCCAACAGCAATTGATTGTACCAAAATTTGGTATGTTCTGCTCAATGCCGGTGATTCACACCTGACGAACAAATGCCGTGCAAGTCCGCAGGTCCGCTTCTAGAGAGGGTAATTTTATCATCATTGCTAAGGTACTAGAGCAGAAGGTACCATATTTTCTATTGAGAAAATGGTACCTCCTGGTTTATATATATTAAGTATCTCGAGGTACCAAAAATTTTACTGTGAAATTTAGATACATCGAGGTACTTTTTCAAGGATACATCGACGTATTTTTTTTCGAATACTGTAAAATTTATCTTCTAGAAAAATATAATTTTTTTCATCCTTGAGAAGGTACGAGAAGATATCACATTTTTAGTATGAAAATTGATACCTCCAGTGTTCTAATTAGAAGGCAATTTCCCATAAACGCTTTACAAAGAAGATAAATAAAGACGTTATGCAAAAAAAAAACAATGCAAAGTTCCAAAGAATGAACTTACACTACTACACAACCGATTTTTGCATGCGGCTAATATGATTTTTGTGTGTGGGTAGGCGACCCGCACGCGCCCAGGGGTCTTGGAAAATCACGATTTTCACGTGCGGGCGCTTAAGCCGCCCGCACCAGAAAATAAAAAATCGAAACAAAAAAAAAGAAAAACAAAACCCTAATGCTAATCCGCTGCCCTAGCCGAGGCCCGCCGCCGTCGTCACTGCGGTAGCCAGCTACGGATCCGCCGTCCGCTCCCGTCACCGGCCGAAGACGCCCCTCCCCTCTGCTGGATCTACAAGAGGAGGGAAGGGGAATGGAGGGAAGCCGAAGGAGAAAGAGGGAAGGGGAATCAACTCACCCGACGCTGGCCGGCCGCCGCTGAAGCCGCCGCACCTCCACGCCAACCGCTAATGCCGCCGCACCTCCAGATCAGCCTCCGTCCCACTGCCTCCTGCGGCCTAGGTGCGCGGGCTGCCTCCCTCCCGTCGCTGCACGCCGCTCTGCCCGATCCACCGGGCCCCCGCCTCCCCTCTGCCAGATCTACAAGGGGAGGGAGGGGAGGGGCCGCGCGCCGTCGTAGTCGCCTGCCGCCGCCGCTGTCACCGCCCTTCTTCCCGCCCGCAGCCGAGGGAGAGGGAGGGAGGGGCCGAGTGCCGCCGCGCCGCCTGCTGTCGCCGCCGGCCGGCCGGGAGAGGAGAGGAGTGGAGTGGGAGAGAGGGAGAGAGTGAGGTGGGAGGGAGGCAGTGGGTGGAGGGGTGTGAAGGATATTGAGCTCGATGTATTTTCATGTGTGGGTCAGTTAACAGGCCCGCACACAAAAATAGGTTTATTTTTGTGTGCGGGCCTGTTAAGTGGGCCGATGGCCTGGCGTCGGTCCCCCCATTTTCCTGTTCAGTTCCACTCACGAACCACATGGAAACAAAAAAGGGGGGACGTCCAAGAAAATCAATCCTGTAGTCTGTAGTAGTGTTAACTTCGTTTGTGAGATATAAAATTGAGAAACATAGGGGAAAAATTAGAAAAAACAGTAATAGTGTTTTCCCTTGTGTGATTTGTTAATTTTATGTCATAGACGAAGTAGAGTTTGTTCCAGCAACTTTGTAGTGCTTATTTACATATTACCTACATTTTTATGTTTTTAGATTTTTTTAATAGCTTGTTTTAAAAGAATGTCCTCCGGTCACCGTCTCTACGGCTGCAATTTTCACCAGCGCTGGCGAAGCGGCGAGGTAAGAGTACTCGACTCGTCTCATGGCGAGAACTGCTCCGCAAAAATGGTAGGACTGATGTGAAAGCGCCAGAGCCATTGGATCATGATAGGCCTTTGGGGAACCGTTGGATCCTTATATTGTCCCTGTGATACTGCTCATACCCAGCCCGGAGTGAAGGACTCTGCTCGGCCTATTTGAATTTGGTTTATTGTAAATCTACCGGTTAGTAATTAAACAGGGCAGGTCTAATTTAAGAAAGTCTCGGTGCACCCACCTGATTTCATCTTTTTTTTGTAGTTGTAGTTTTCTAGTTGTACATTTTTTAGTGCTCCATTTCCTTTGCTTTATCATCACAGAACATATTGCGTTGATAATTTTGGTTGATCATGTTGATGCCGTTTCAGCATGGATGGAAGACTCCATTTGAATTTGACAGTGACCTTGCTATCAAAATGGGCTGGGAGACGACCAGTCTTGACCCGAGCCTTCTCATCCTTAGCTTCACAGTTTTCATGTACCCATTGAGGGTGCTCTTCTATAGCTTGTCAATGAGATCACCTAGCCCTGCACATTACCATTTTTGATAAATGTCAATGACTCGTCTTCACAACACATGCATTTTCTGATACCTCTCAGTCCTATATGTCATATGTTTCGATTTGTAGCTTATTTAAAACAAAGACCAGAATGAAATTTCATTTGTTAAAAAAATATATTATATGTTTCGATTTGTCCCCTCTCGTTTCTCAATATATTATATGTGTTGTCTGTTTGAGTCCGCATGCAACAGAGAGTTGCCGCAATATATACACCTTAAGTCCCCAACCATTTCATATATAAGATGAGTTCATTTACTCAGAATGTACTGTAGTATCATATTATTATCCTCTTTACTGGATTATTAATAATTACTAAAGAGTGAAAGACAGTATCTCAGCTAGGAGATCTTATTCGAGAAAAAATATCTCAGCTAGGAGATCTTATTCGGGAAAAAGCTGAATTTGATTAAATTTTGATCAAATTCGTAAAATTTTGAAAAAAAAAATTCGATATTGACTTGGTTTGGGGAGGTTCTGAAATTTCCTACCAAAATTACAATCACCGGCCAGAATATACATCCCCATCTCCGTGGGTCCAAAATCTCCCCGTCAAATCTAATATGAACTTGTTTTCTCTCACTTGATTCTCCGTAGAGAACCACTTGAAACCATATCCGCCCTTTAATCGAAGAATTCCCCGTAAGAAAATGTGAGCCATTGTATATCTCTACAGTGTCGACTGAACACATGCACGCATCCAGAGCACCTCCTTCAATGGTTAGAGATCTCAAGGCGAAACTGGGAATTTTGCGAGTACTCTCCGACAAGAAGAGCTGGAAGCAGCAACATTGTGCTCTTAGTTTCTATTCGAAGAACCAAATTGTTCTATGCTGGCTGCTGACGATTTTTATTGCGTTGATCCCTACTGCCGGCGGACGAGGCAGACGCCAATATCCAGCACACGACGATCGTACTATGTAGGCTAGGTTTTTGCAGTAGAATTGAAAGCTGCAGCGCCCACAAATTTACACCAGCACATGCGAAAATGAACATGCCACAACCTGAATGTCACAGGCCAATTAACTCTCTACTATCGATTTAGCCCTTGAGAAATTTGGGTCGCCAAATGATCCAAAAACTGAGGTACTCGTGCTTGCGCCGCGTCTTCTGTCTCAACGCAAGAACAACTGTGATGGAGTAACCATGCCAAGGTGCTTCTGACCAGCGGACGAGTCAGCTTGCGACGTTGAGCACACTGCCACCGTACCATGACGGGATCGCCTTCTTAGTAGCACCCAAAAACTGCAGCAAACAATGATACATAATCATATCAGTAAGTAGTCCTAGATATTGCTGAAATAATATAGCTCGATTAACATTGGCTATTGCCTAGCTACTATTAGAACTACATGCATAGTTAACTATTTAAGTTGTGTTGATTTGGAGCTAGCTATACGAACAAACCAGTGTGGACGCATTTTCTTTGAGTGACTCGTACCATGTTTCCTAGTGCCCCCAACTCCTACTATATGTATACGCATTTTCTTCAGTCGACATGCAGTTCATATCCAAGCATAACCTGGAGATAAAATGCACGAATATATGCCTCAAGTGCACTACTCTTGTATATACATGCATCCGACTAGCAGAAATAAAAGGTGCAGGTGTAGTATGTTGTGATGAACCACGCGCATAGGCATGGGATGCATTGGGAATTCGGATCTAGCATATCAGCTATTTTATCGTCTTCACTTAATGATGATAGTAACTTCATATGAACTTGGCATGGAGAAGAACCATCAGATGCTGTGGCATTGAACCATGAAGATGATCAGTGATGGTGTAGTAGCATCGCGATGAACTCCTGCAGTGAGATTAGAATTATGTTAGCTTATTAGTAGTAGTACAAAAAACCGATCATTTGTTCCAAAACTGGTAGAACACTAGCTATATATATCATGGTATATATGTAGACTAGAAAATAAGCCCGTGTATTGCAACGGGAGATGGCTAGATTTTGGTTGACCAGATCGTATAGTGCAGAATGAAGCATCATTAAATAGTTTTCACTCTTGGTTAAAAAAAACAATAAGTAATTATGTTCTTAACTCTGTCTTTACGTTCAATTCTGATTTTATCCTTGGTTTCTTAACTAAAGCTCAAGTTTGCCCCCATTTCATTAAGATGACTTAGTGGTTAAAAGAAATGCAAGGCTTTGTAAATTTAGGTCTATTTGTCTGAAAAAATTATGGTTTTGATCTTGTTTTGACAAAAGTGTGTTTTGACACAAATTTTTCCCAACTTGAATTTTCACATATTTTAGATATGAATGAGAACTTGCTTGACAGAAAAATAAATTCATCCATAATGAACTTTAACCATGCAATTGTTTTTTTATGTGATAACCATTCAAATGCTTGATAGGAACCAACGAAAAATTCATCAATAATTGTTGATTACCAAGCATACCAGTGAAATGAGAACTCCTCGTATACAGATCCTTTGGGAGATGAACATAAACTGATCTAAGTCTGATTAGATGTAGCGATGAATATTGCATTATCTCTCGAGGCTTAAATATGAACATAAGTTGAAATTATACAGCCGGATTGATCCAAAAATTAAGCTAAACGTAACTGAACAACATTTGTCAATAACTTCACCAAAATCAGATAAATTTTATATCAAAAATCAGACAAACTGAGAATAATATTTACCCAAAACTTCATCAAAACCGAGATAAACAAATAAACAATATACTATATTTGTTACTTTAGATAAAAAAAACAAATGGAACAAGAATATTGATTTGGGGGGGAAATCATCAGAACGTGCTGCACCTATCTCTTCAAACTCACATCCTCAACAGATCAGATCGGTAATTTGCTATAGGCTACAGACAAAATGGATTGAGGCTGAGCAATGGCAGTGACCTAGACCAATTGCGAGGTGATACATGCGAAGTCAACAATAGGGATCGAGGCCGAGACAGTGCAAGTGATACAAGTCAATGCTACGAGATGCTGGTGATGCAAATAGGGGCCAAGCTAGACAACTAATCTGGGAGAAGTTCATTGGAGTTGCATAGGAAATTCTCAACAGCCTACGCACGGGTCGATGGCCACATGCCACATCCACATGCCACATGCAAAAAAAAAAAAAAAAAAAAATCTTGAGCCGATCTGGACTCCCGCATGGATTGTTAGATGAGGGACAAAGGAAGGGGTAAGTACATAATCATCTTCAATTTTTATAATAGGTAAAGACAAAGATTAAATTAGCTAAGCAGCTAACTATAGCCACGTCCAAAGTTTATACCAAAATCGGATTATCACCATTCCAGGTCTTCATAGCATATTTTCTTAGTGCCTCTGGCTCCTACACATCCACAAGTGCACTTATGTATAAGAGGCTACCTAGTTAAGCAGCAAATTGAAGTCCATATATACTATATCTGAAGTTTTTTTTTGCCTCAAATCAATTGAATTTATACCCTACTATGTGTATTACAATTTGATAATATTTTCTCTAGAAATTAAAGACTCATGCTAGGTACATTCATGCATATATACTTCTCTGCCTATCTTAGTTTTTTTAATGCAAGTGCACACGGATCTCAATAAATTTTCAACTAATTTGTTAAGTGAAGCATTAATTGAAAATACGGCCATGTTCAGCTGCCTGTACATATCACTGCATATATATGTTATGCTAACTGTATCACCTCATACATATGCTATCATGTCCACAAGTCCTAGCCCAAATTGATACGGTGGTTGATCCACTTCCATTCCATTTCGATGTGCATTTTGTGATGAACTATATAGGTATGGGATGCGTTGGGAATTCGGATCTAGCATATCAGCTCTTCTATCGTCTTTACTCGAAGATGATAGTAATTTCATATTCGAACCTGGCATGGAGAAGACCGATCTTAAGGGTGGCGGCCTTGATGACCTTCTTTCTTTACTTTGCAACTTCAAGAGGTACTTGACAATGTGCTTATCCACAGCTTATCACAAGGATTTGATGCTAACCAGGCTCATCAAGAAACCTTATAGCGTCTTCCTAGCTGCAGACAACAGCAATTTGATTCTACCAAAATTTCATATGTTCTGCTCACCGCCGGTGATTCTTGCTCAATGTGCGACGGCCGTTCCAAGTCCTCATGTACGCTTCTAGAAAATGCCTGCAAAGCTATCTACCTAGAAGGCGATTTCCCAAAAACGCCTCAGAAAGAATAAAAAAATAAAGGCGTTATGCAAAATCCCATAACATCTCGTGTTTTTTGAGGCGTTCCATAAAAACGCCATCCAACTTTATATATCATTTCAAAGAAAAATATTGTTTTTACAAATAAGACCCTAATAATTATGTTACTTAGTAACTAACCCTTCCACCATTTGATGGTCATCGGTCTCTTTGGGCGTGTATGGACCACAGCCTATGGCTGTTTTATTTGCTGCATAGTGTAACAGCCGGCTGACTGTATTGCAGCGCTGCACTAGCCTGCTAAACGAGGATTTCTTCTACTCATGCATATATTAAAAAAATAAAAGATAAAAAAGAGCACAGAGACAAGGGGATTGAGCTCATGCGACTTTCCTCGCCGGAAAACCTAGATCGATCGAGATAACACAATCCGCCCTTCCCACCGGTCAACTCTCCATCAACACAGCTCATCATCTAGCGCGACTCTCCACGTACGCCTGACCGCCGCTATCACGAGGAGCACGCCTTCCTCTCCATCATGCTGCCAGTCGCCACCACCGCCACGGAAGAGCCTCCTTGCCTTCGCTAAGCACTGCCAGCTTGAGCACGCGCTTCTGTCACGCCCCGAACTAATCCCGACCAGAACTAGCCCGTGACGCTCCAAATTAACCTGTTGATCGATACCAGTCCCAAGAAACAGTGCTGGTATCACAGGGAGACAGAATATCACAGCAATAGCGGTCTCTTTATTATAGAGTAGAGATACAGTCATGTTGGGCTACGGACAGATCTCGAGCTCACAACTGCATTACAAAAGGGAAACGGAAACCAGGGCTAGGACCAACCAACACAGGCGCGACTTGGGAACTAGGCCGAAACCCTACAACTCATCGTAGCCAGCTTGCTCCTGGAAGAACTCCTCATCAGCAGGATCCGCTTCATCTTCTTCAGCAACTGGGGGGATTATTTATATAGAGCAAGGGTGAGTACGGGAGTACTCAGCAAGCCAAGGGAAATAAGTGTTTAATGCAGGCTTCAAGGAAAGGCTGTTGTTATTGCAGTTGATTTTATTTGAACTCTTTTCTAAAAACAACTAAGTGAGTGCTTCTCAAACGACACGGTTGAGACAGTGCGTCTCGTCCGGTCGGAGTATGTGCAATGTATTAGTCTTTAAAATTTGAAAACAAGGTTGGCACCCGGCCAACAGCTTTTCAAACAGCCACCCGGGCCAACAACTTTCAAACGGCCACCCGGGCCTAGCTGATCCCATCAGCTGCAGATTTTACAAACATCGAACCCCTTTCCACAACAGCAATTTCACAAGCAGTAGTCAAACAAAACTACGCTAGGAATCACCTCACATCCGCCCATGACCGTGGGCACAGCTGTTCGAACAGTTTGATAACCTCTGCAGAGGGGGTACACTTTACCCACACGACATTACTAACCCGGATCACCCAGCCCGTGGGGATCAACCACGTCGGGAGACCTCCAAGCTTTCATGACAAGGCATTTCCAAAGCCGACACAGGTTTACCATATGCCGACGAGAGGGGTCCCAGACCAACAACAGGTTAGGTCCCAGACCATACTGTGCCAGGAAGCCCAGGGATCCTCCCCGACACCACCCCGGCGAATCCACATGTCTCTCGGCATCAAGGCTCCCCTGATAAGCTAGTTACTCAGCCAGGGGTGTCCCATTCCACCCATATGGTCGTACTTGTCTTATGTTTGGATGAAATTCCAAGGAAACGGTCCTTAAGTGCAAGAGCGGAAAACCGTACACCCGGTATGTTCCCCGGTCCGCGGTTTCGGAAATTCATTTAGTTCGCAAGCACCGACCCAGGTGTCGGGTTTTCCAAGTCTTTTGTATAACCCAAGTTTTACCCAAGTTGTTACTCAGATTTTAAGTTTGAAGGGGACCGTCGATACTCGCACAGAGTGCACGAATATCAAGGCGCAACTAGATGGTTACAAGGGGACATGGTATCACAATTAACAAAGGAAGGATCAAATGCAACAAATTAGGTAGGTCCGCCAATCTGCTTTGCAGACGGGACAACAGGTTAAGTGCGATCCTATCAATGCATAATATTTTCAAACAACATAATTAAATTTCAAATATAGGCTCAAGATGTTCAAAGGTGGCTTGCCTTGCTCGAGATCTGGAGCTTGATCCTCGAAATCCTCACGCTACGGGTCTTCGGGCTCCGAAACTACACGCGAAACGGGACAACTCAACAAACGGCGAAAATAAAGCCCTATTAATGACCTCTAAGCATGCCATTAGATAGATCTCGAGATTTGAGGAATTTTAGAAGTTGAACGGAGTCAAACGGATTTACGGTTGGGAAGATATTGAATTTCTAAGATTATTGGATTTTTGGTCTAAAGGAAAAGGATTTAATTAAATCCTTTTTGAAAAAGAAAAGAAAAGAAAGGAAAAGAGGGAGGGAAAATAGACTTTTCCTCGGGCGGCTAGGGCACGGCCCGAGAGAGATGGGGCGGTCCGGCCGAGCTAAATGGGCCGGCCGGCCCAAGGCGGCCCAAGCGCGCGCGGGAGGGAAGGAGAGAGAGGGCCGGTGGACCGGGCTCACCACGCGTGGTCCCGAGTGGGACCCGCTTGTCAGCGGCTCGGCTCACCGTGCGGAGGGAGCACGCGGCGCGGCGCTAGGGTGGGGGAGGGACACGGTGCACGCGCGCGGTTCGCGGTGGACGCGGATGCGGCGGGCCCACGCGCAGCCTCACGGCTCACGGTGGAACGCGCGCACGGGAGGGGCTGACCGGGGTCGGCCCGACCCGACCTCGGCCGAGCTGGCACCGACGTGGCGCCTACGTGGCTGCCACGCGGGCCGGCGGGAGGTAGACGACGACGCCGGCCGGAACAGACGGCGGACGACAGCGGCGAGCAGCGGAGCGAACCACGGCGATACCGGCGAAAGCGAGCACACCGGGTGGCTACACAGGACGAGGGGAGACGAGCCAACGGCTCGGATTCACCGAAGGGAGTCCGTCGGCGGCGGATTGCGGCGGCGGCAAC